CGTATGATGCACGATCCTCGCAGTAGAGAGCGCTATTTATGCAATAGCGAAAATCAGACCTGAAAAAAATCAGGCCTGTACGGGATTCGAACCACTGACCTCTGCGATACTAGTGCAGCGCTCTACCAATTGAGCTAACAAGCCTAATACCGCAGTTCAAAATATATGAACTTCATATATTCATTGTATCTGATTTATCATCACGGGTTTATTACGAATCAACTTAACGGCCTGCTCCCAGTTGGCTTGTTAGCTCAATTGGTAGAGCGCTGCACTAGTATCGCAGAGGTCAGTGGTTCGAATCCCGTACAGGCCTGATTTTTTTCAGGTCTGATTTTCGCTATTGCATAAATAGCGCTCTCTACTGCGAGGATCGTGCATCATACGCATATATTGAAGTTAAAACCTTCCAACCTGTATTGAGAACAGAAAATTTTGTCTTAACAGCCTTTTTTACTTCCCTAATAACCAATTCGTGATCAAAGATTCAAAACACCAAATTTTACCAAGTCTGTAGATATCACCAGCGATCAACCTGAGGCATTTAGCCATTCCCTAAGGGTGGAGTTCACTTCAGTTTGTCAAGTTTTCTGATCCATGATGGTCCATAGATATGGTGACTTATGGGGGTACTGTCCCAGACATTTTATTTTTGAAGTTATAGCATAAAAATTGGAAAACATCGCTCGATGAGATGAACATGATCGTCGCACGATAAAAGGAAAATTATCATACGACTTAGGAGAAAATATCAATGTACCCACCACCCAAGAATTCGACTTCGCTAGCGCAGGGTAATCTGAATTTCATGAAAACAGAGTAGAAAAGGCAAGATCTCGGGGTAAAAGGGCCCAAGAGAAAGAGGTGACAATTTAAGCTCTATAATATTAAGCAGACTATAGGCAATAAGTCGATAATACTCCACCTCCCCCCACCCCCCCCCCAAAAGTTTTTTCCAAACTGATAGCTTGCACCAAGTGGTTTAGCCGTAAAGAAGCCTGGCAACTGGACAACTTATAATGCAATAATTTTCTTGTTATCGCGAGAAGAGGTTGTTTTTTTTCTGCGCGACGTTTTTCAGTCATCGCGTGATAACTGGCAATAATTAATATGTTGGTGACTTGCCACAGTTCTGATCGCATAGATTTGATGTCACAATTGACGAATTGCGTGACACAGTCGGTCCTAATATCTGCGGGAATTCGTTTTCACTAATTTCTGGAGTCATATTAATTATCAAGCATAAAATATGAGGAAGTCCCGTTATAAGAGGTAGGTACTTTTCGCATCGCGTTGGTTTTCCCTGAAGCCAGAAAATGAAAGTGCTTTATTCCATGAAAACTTTATCATTATTTGCCCTGAAGAGCATAAAATCGGCCCGCAGCACGACCAGGAAATTGATGTCTGATCATGACCTGTTTTCAACAAGCATCTGTATTCGCTTCGTTCTTCAATTTCGTTGGAGCTCAGTGATTATTGCATTGACTGATACAGTTCATCACGATAAGAACAAGTCCGTCTACTTGTTTGTCCAAGGTTGAGTTTCGTTGAGTGATGACATCAATAATTAAATGAATTAGCTTGGCAACGCGATGCAAACTTACAAAACTTATTCATCTTTCGCGGACTTCTTACTTATAGCGCGTTTTTAGTGTCAAAATTCAAAACCTCGTGTCAGACTTGCTATTTTTCTATTCAAACTTCCTGTTTGACAATTCAGATACTCTATTTGTTTACTGAAACATCCATTGTTTCAATTCAAAGCAATATTTCTTCGATTCAGTCATGCTGTTTTTCTATTCAACGTGCAATCCTTCGTTTTAAAAATGTTTTTCTACTACCCAAACATTCAGTCGTCTAATTCAAACATGCTATTGTGAATTTCAAATTTTCAATCTCGCAATTCAAAATAGTCAGTTCCTCAAGTTAAAACGCTATCCTTCTATATGCAATTCTTTACCGCAAATCTGCTACTCGTCAACTCAAATACACTATTCGTCAGTTCAAACAGGCTTTTTGTCGACCGAAACACGCAATCCTTCATTTTGAAACAGTCGTTCTGCAATTCAAACACTCTACTCTTCAATTCAAACCGGCAATTCCTCCATTCCAACGCTTAATCTTTTAGGTCAGATCTGCTGTTCGACTATGGAGACATCCAGTTGTTTAATTTGGTAACCCTATTCATCACTTCAAATATTCGAACTCCTTTTCCAAACATTCAATTATTTTGTTTCTCGCTCGCAGCTCCGAGAAAAAGAGACGCTACTACGCAGCTCGGCCAATCTCGCTGCTTCGTAGTCTCCTTCGCAGCCGCTCGGGCCAGAGTCACGCAACGCTCCCCGTCCCCACGCGTGGGGACGGGAACCAGGGGAGTTGCTATATCACGGGCGAGGAGCGGGGCAAGGCAAATGGTCCGAGACATGAGTGGTCAGCGGTGAAATAGCTTTAATGAAGCATGTAGAGACAAATCATTTGTAACTATTATATTAAATAATCGTAGTATCTATCCCGAAATGTTAACAGAAAACTTCCCTACATAAAAATTAAAAAAAAAAGAACGATTGAAAAAAAAAAAACAAAAGCGTTGATTGTACAAATATTTTTCACTGCTCTAACAACTAACGAAGGCGTCGGTGGCTTCGGGAAAGTGTGATATTTGCTGCGTGACGGAAAAAAAAATGCATCTAGATCTTGACCTTCGGTTGTCAAAAATTGTCAGTCAAATTTTGCGCGAAATGGTTTTCGCAATCTAGTTCATCTGTTGCGAAAAATTTTGCAATGGATGAAGACCAAAAGCTAACAACGTTAAAAGAGTTAGAGGTGGACTTTTTGAAAGAAGAGCTCAATGGCTTTTCTGTTGAAGGCGATTATTGCTTCGGATATTTCGAAGGAAACAGAGCAGAGATGGATGATTTATTAGTATCATTTCAGGCGTTGAACTCCAGGTGTTATATACTTACAGAAAGCCATTCAAAAGAGAAAAACCACAAAAGATTTTCTCAAACAGGTATGTAACTATTTCTTTCAGTGTTTTGAAGTACAAAGATCCTTGTTTCCTATTCTAATCTTTCTCATTCAGGGATAATTGGGATAGATAAGAATCACCTCTTTCTTTCAGAGTTTGTGGATTGCAGTCTTATGCAAACTGTGAAAGACGACCGCTACGGCTGCACTCCTTGTTTTTATTTCATTTGAGTTTCTTGGTTTGTTTTCGTTGTTGCTGTCATTCTTTTGCTGTTCATCTGTCTCTACTTTAACGGTCAGCTAACTGTGGCTTTGGGTCAAAGGTTTTCATTGTCGGGTTCTTAGCGCCTTGTGAAAGTCCCAATTGTGACCTTTGCACTTTAACCGGAAATAAGACATGTTGCTCAACAATTCTTTTTGTTTTCATTTGTCAGCACCTCCTGTCCTTGAAAATAACCGCGGAAATGTCCCCATACATTTCTTTGGCCATCTCTTTTCAATCTGTAGCAGTGAAACTCGACATTTTCATCCTGAGTGCTTCTGTTAAAGTGAATAGAAAGAAAAAGTTTGAACGGAAAACATAATTATTTATCATATGGTTGTTTTGAGAAAAGGTCTCCTAAATCGAGCGACCTTTATCGAAACATTTTAGGGATGGTAAACACATTAGCCTTAATTTGGCTGTTTCTTGAAGCTCTGAGTTTTCCTCCTTGGATATTTTAACATGGAATAGAGGCGATTGTTTATATATAATATGAAGTAAGAGAACTTCAGCTACTTGAATTTTTGTTATGAAAGTTTTCCATCTTAGCCTGTAGATACAAACTTATAAAAAGACTAAAAAACTATTCAGATCGAGAACTAAATTTTTGTAGAGTTCCCTAGCTTTTCTTTTCCCGGAAAAATAGTAGAGATTGCAAAAATCAAGTGAAAAGCGCGCCAGCTGTGATTAACGCCTTGGACAACCGGAAGTCGGTCACGATACTTTCTTTACTTCGCGTAGCAAGTTACCAAACAAAAATATAAGTTTTTGATACCTCTCCCGATACCTTCGTTGCTTATTAGAGCAGTGAAAAATATATTTATAGTCGAAGCTTTTGAAAAATTGCTTAATTTGTTATTTAGCAAAATTTATTGTTAACATTTCGGGATTGATTCCACGATTATTTAATGCAACAACTACAAATGATTTGTCTCTACATGATGTATTAAAGCTATTTTACCGCTGACCACTCATATCCCGGACTACATTTCTTGCCCCGCTCGTCGCCCGTGATATAGTAACTCCCCGTGGGGACGGGGAGCGTTGCGTGACTCCGGCCCGAGCGGCTGCGAAGGAGACTAGCTGCTTCGCAGCCCGAAAGGATTGTAAACAGGGAGGAAAAGTGAAACCTCTGGAGCCAGGGTAGGGAGCTCCGGCAATGTAACATAGTTGCCTTTAAATTAGTTTTATGCAAATTCTATGGTGTTAGTTAAACAATGCTGATTGTGTTAACCTTGCGGAACCAGCCAGCTTCGAAATCTTCATATGGTCGTCTTTATATTCTTAAATGGTCCCCGCAAAAGCTTACGCCAGAATCTCCATTGAATGTGGATAAGTTCAGTTTGTAGTCAAGTGACTTACTAATAACATAAATTTCGGATAGCATACGCAGATCACGCTATCATAACCTTGCGATAGTCGAAATAAGGCGATTCAATTTACTGTGCTTCAAGAATTAACATCAAACACCTTTTCCCTATACATTATTAATCATTATTCAATAAGTCGTTACCTAGTTCGAACAAATGAACAAAAATTTCTGACACAGAGGAGCGAATTTTTCCAAAATCAGAAAGATCGACATCGACAAGGAATTGACGGCATTTTTTGAGTCCAAGCGACCGAACGTAGCATGTTAAAGAAATTTCAGACTCACAAATCGTTACTGAGTTTTACTGAAAGCCGAAAGTGACAATAGGAGTGGGGGTCTTGTATTTATACGTGATTTAAATTGAGAGTGCATATTACAATTTTGCAAAATGTTTCAGTTTTCCTAGTTCCAGGCGAGGGCGCCGCTGCAAATAGAGTCACGCATGTTTATTTGTTCTTAAAGGGCTACTGAAACGTAATTTTCATATCCGAGATTTTTGCAATATAATAGAGCTTGAACGTTATTTGCAAACGCTGTGTACTTTTTTTGGGCCAACGCATACCGGAAAGTACATTTTTAAGCATTCGAAGTTGACCGGCTGAGATCAAAATTGGCGGCCATCTTGGCGCGGCCAAAACAGCCCTGTGACGTCACTGGTTGTGTACTTCTGTGAAAGAAGGGTAAAAGCATGGAGTGTGGCTTGCATGTTGGGAGGCCGAAAAAGAGGATTTCGGGCAAAATGCCATCTTCGTCTTATTCATCGGCAGCCACATCGGCATCTTGGCTATTTGCGAGAGGTTCACCTGGATAGGGAGCAAAATTGAAGATGATCTAATCGGCAAGTCTGAGGATAACGAACAAATCCCTCTGTACCAAATGCCTGGCAGAACTTGCCCAGAATCCCTACAATATAGGGCGAGGGCCAAAATAAGAGCAGACGAGGATTTAAAAAATGAGATAAAGAAAATCCTTAACAACACGGAGCAAGAAACAGTAAAGGCGATCATGTGCTTCTATGAACGTGAAATCGGTCGTTTTAATACCGAAATAAAGAAAAGAAAACGAGCCAAAACGGCTGGAACACTGAACACTAAGAACTGTAGTACGATCGAATCAGCGCGCGTGGCGCAAGCTGAAAGCAATCAAGACAACTTAACGATCGAGACAGTCAAAAAAATAGCTGTACATCTACAAAGGCGAACGATTCGAAAAAGACGCAATCCCTGATGTGCGTACTCAGTGCCACACATAAAGCAAATTCTCATGAAAAACTGGCATTTAATAGAAACACAACCACTACTGAGCGAACTATACAAAAATCCGCCGCTCGTATCTTACAAAAGAGGGCGGTCGCTCAAAGACATACTCGTGAGGGCTAAACTTTGAATAGGCTACTCTAAACACACGCTTGGGAGTCGTGTAGGCCTGTCAACCCCATTTTACGCCACCATCTTCCTCTTCGCTACTGGAGACAACTTCGCTTCGTTCAGAAGAAGATTCACTTGACAGAACTTCAATGTCTGCCATCTCCTTCGCCCCCGAATACAAACAAACAGTGAGTGAAATAAACCACGCTATCGAAGTGAACACAACCAGTGACGTCATCAATCCATTTCGCTCAGTACCAGGGCCCGGACATGGTTTTGTGTAAAATTTTTTATTTGAACGGTTAAAAAAGATATCTTTCGCTTCTTTTTGGCCAAAGCAAATTATCTAATGATGATCAGCATATTCAAAACTACAGGTTAGAGCAAATATTTCAGATACGAAAATTTCGTTTTAGCAGCACTTTAATAAAGGGGGTTAGTTTCTAAAGAAACTGTGGTGCTACGTCGGCAGGAGTGACAAGGTAATTTTGGTTTTATCAACTGAGTTAGTAAAATAAATTGGCCACCGTAAAGAGTTTCAAAGCTGACGTTTCGAGCGTTAGCCCTTCGTCAGAGCTTTCTTTACTTAGTTCTATATAAAGAACTTATTCACAGGTTTCAATGTTACATGCACTAAAGGGGGATTCGAGATCGTATATTTTTTGGCCCCTCTTTTTTTATTAGTTTATGCCCGAAAGTCATGTATAATGTTGTGAAGTATTAGGTCAGTTCAGTATGAGTCAGTAGTTAGTGATCGAAAATCAAAGAGTCAGAATCAGATAGATTAACCTGAGTAAGTCAGACGACCAGAGGTCACGCCAGACCTTGATGTGAGTAGAGTTGTATATTAGAGAATCAATTAGACAAGAGATTACAGGAGACTACAATAGACAGGTCGAGTGTCCCTGGTGCCTATCGTAAAGTGTGTTACAGGCTGCAGTTAGTTTCCCCCATCCGGCGACCCAATATACTTGGCGAAGGACCTGCTAAAAATATGTCAGTAAGAACTCAACATGCTGATCAACACCACTTTCATCAATTGCTCTCCTGTTGATATTTACTTGTTTGTTTTTTTACGTTTTATTTCTTTTTTTTCTCTGTGCGCCTTTTAGTTAAACTTTATGCACTCTTACATTTCATTCACATATTTCGAACTCCCTTCTTGGCTTGGTCTTCCTTAGTTGAGGAAAATGTCTCTAGCTTTCCCCTGCAGTCGGTAGATACAATACTATTTACATTGGCCGAATGTCTTGCTTTTTTTGCAAACAAAATAGGTGTAAGACAAGCAAATGTCATTGAAGCGCCGGAGATGAAGTTTTGGAGGCATAGAAGACGAAGGAATATTTTTTCCTTAAGAAGGTTTCCTTTTTGGCTTCGAGTTATCATAGCTGGTTGGCTGTCGTTTTCTGCTGTATTCGGAATTTATCTGGCAAACTATGCATCTGTACAACACCAGCACTCCATAGTGGAAACGCCTAAGCAACATAAATCTCCCTCGGCCAGGAGAAACTTGATAATTGTAGCACACGGCCGATCGGGATCTTCAATCACCGGAGACATTTTTAATCATCACCCAGATGTGTTTTACATGTACGAACCGCTGCAAACTGTGGAAAGAACACAGAAAGTATTTAACTTGCATTATGACAGCCTTGTGCAGAAATTCTTAACTGATGTACTTCAATGTAAATTCACTGATCCAGTCATCTTGAAGGACATTGAAACTTACTACCGCAAACCTCTTCATCCTCGGATTAGTCACGCTATTGCCTCGCCGCCTCTTTGCCCTTACAATATATCCGACCCGAGATGGGATCCACGACTTTGTCCCAAAATGACAAGCGAAGCACTTAAAAATACATGCAAAAATGGATACATGCTCACTGTGATTAAGGTTCTTTTGGGACGTATGCCGGACAAAGGCGGAATGGAAAAGGCTCTAGCTGTTTGCGATTCCCCAGACATTGATTGTAAAATAGTGTTGTTGGTAAGAGATCCTCGCGCTGTGATACCCTCTTCACTGAGTGTTAGCTTTTACCACGAGGAAGGTGGAGTTGCTAAGCTCGGAACAAGAATGTTCAGCTACAAAGTATGCAAAGAGACAGAAGAAAGCCTTAATTTTGTCAAGAGACTTTCCACTTGGCAACGAAACAAAGTCAAAGTGCTGAGGTATGAAGACTTTGCGAGAAATCCTTTAGAAGAAATGAAGAGACTGTTCGACTTTGCCGGGCTATCGGTGTTAGATAGTGTTACAACATGGTTAAATGAAAGTACACATCCGGATGAAACCAGATCAGATATGAAAATACGAGGCAGTCCAGCTGCTTTCACTGTGGATGATGCACAAATCGCCATGAATCGATGGAGATGGAAAGTTCATCCTTATGAAATAAACATCATAGAATATTATTGCAGACATGTGATGCAGCTAATGGGGTACAAACCTGTTGACGGATCACACGAGCAACAAGCAGATATCTCCATCTCTCTTTTAAGCGATGATTACGAAGTGAAGGACTGGCAACGAGACAAGAGTGAGGTCAAATCTGAAAAGGGATGACCTTATACGCAAAGAGAAATTAAGTCTTCAATCGTTTTTCTTTCCTTTCTCGTCGTATCATCATGATCAGCGTAATGAGTAAATCACTCAATACACTCAAAGGGTCACTTTGACACAAAAAAACAAAAACTTCATTACATGAACATTTGAGGTGCTTTAATGTTACATGAGAAGACACACGGGGTTTGCACTGTAAGTATCTCGGAGAGCTCCATACAATTCCTTATGATAAAATTATAAGGAATTGTATGGAGCTTTTTCAGCACTAGTCGAGGCGCGGTGGGTGTTGTCACATATGATCCTTGCATATGAAGCTCTGTGGGATACTTACAGTGCAAGCCCTGTGTGTCTTCTCATGCTACATCATTGATTTACAGGTAAGTTAATGTACTTCGTCCGAGAGGCTGAAAACAGTCTATGCATACTCTAAAGAGTCAAATTGAGTACTAAGAAGATCCAGGAAATGACAGTCCTTCGTGACAGAGAGTTAATCTTACTTTCTTTCAAACACTTACACCCTCCAAACAAGAGAATATGAATTCAGTTCATATTCTCTTGCCTCTAAACCAATCGAAACTAAAAGCTCATCGAGGCTCGGTCATAGTGGACATAGTAGTGTTTTCCGCCCCTCGGGTAGTTTTCCCATGGGCTCTTTGTAATATTTAGTAGTGTTTTTCGCCCTTCAGGTAGTTTTCCCATGGGCTCTTTGTAATATCTAGTAGTGTTTTTTGCCCTTCAGGTAGTTTTCCCACGGGCTCTTTGTAGTATTTCTCTTTGTCTCGATTGGCTGCTATGATTAGTTTTGGTTTCACGACAGCCAACAGAAATGCGCGGACGCATTTGAGTCACTCAGTTTCAGACTGCTTTCGTTACTACACTTAAACGGCAGATCGTAGTTTAAAGGCGCATGAAAATTATGTTCTCGAGTTCGCGCATGCTTTATATAGTACTGGAAACTTACACGCAAGCGATTTTGTCTCCAATATGGCATCAGGGGAAGAGTGCAACTACTAACGGCTCGTTTTGACATCAGCCAATTTGTTGGTAAGCCCACAGTTTGGTATCTTTACGTAAACACCACAGACGAAATATCTGTGGCAAGCGACTAAGGAAAAACTCTCAGTTTCTGAGTGCTGCCCGAGACACAAGAATGCATCTGCTTAGCTCACTTAAATCTGATAACAATGGTGTGCGGAAATTCCCTTTCCAAGGAATGAATATCCTTTCTTGCTGGCCATGACATGAGAGGATCGTTTAAAAAAGCAATTTCGCAACAAACTCTTTTGGCTAACTAAAGACAGGCGAAATAGGTGCCGAACTAAGAAAGATCCCCAAAATCTTCTTACGATCAATTAGAAACGTACCGATTTCCTTGTAGGTGAGGTTTCCTTCCTTAACCCTTTAATTCCCACGAGTGACCAAGACAGAAGTTCTCCTTAAAACAACAATACAACATCAAGCAGACAAGTGATGAGAATCAAGAAAACTATCAGTTGGGGGGTTATTAGTTGAAGTGATCTAATACTAAAATCTCTGCACTGAAATCAGAAGAACTGTATTACAGGCAGTAAGAAGAATCACATTTTTTTGTAGATCTTGGGATCGAGTGAAAGGGTTATGATCCAATATAAGACTTATAAAGGCAATGGCGGTGACTGCTTTTTCGCCGCTCAAATTCAAAGGTGAATTGAAAAATGGCGGTAATAATGCCGCGATCAAGGGAATCGATAACCAAAACTCAAATTTCAACCGACGCAATGTTAACAGACAACTGGAGGAATATGAAAACCCACAGTCAGTTTATCTTGAATAATAAATAAGCTTCGCATTTAATAAAAAATTGTAACATTTCTTTTATATTCACGCAGTTCTTAGAGCAAGTAATACCCAATTGCTCCCATTTGAGAAATAAACGTCTGGAAATAACTTTGGGGAAACAACTTGTAAATAAAACAGAGTACACTTCAAGGATGTCAGTTTTTCCGCCTGGTAATCACAAGCGTGGCGGCCAAGAAAAATTATGATCTCGTGTGGAGGCTGAATATTCTTCTTCCAGAACTCTCCAGTAGCTAACTGCTTCTCCGTTTATCAACACCTTTTTATTTAGGTATGCCTCGCTCACTGGAAAGTTTGTTTTAAAAAACATTTCTTCGCAATACTTCCATGATACCTTGCGTGTCTCGACGCCTGTCGGCAAACTCACACTCATGCGCGCGCTGTCCTTGTTCGTCTGACGGGCCGGTTCAAGACGAACATGGCAGGTGAAGTAGGTAAGATGAACATTATTTTTCCGCAAGTTCCTTTTCCCGTGTTCAATATTGCGTTACCGTGACCTTACAAGAAGAGTTACTTTTGAACTTCTCCATCGCAAGACGAGGAAGTTCGGTTTTCCAGGATGGAGCGAAGATAGTCTTCGATGACACGCTGGACTGAAAAGGAAACATTTGATATTCATACCATGCATTACAACGACAAGAAAACAATTACAGTTCAGTTCCATTATGGGGATCAATAACAGCAGAAACCTCGTACAATGTCTCAAATAATTTCCTGACTAGTCTCAATCGAGTTCTTAACCGTTTAACCGATAAGAATACTTTCTCCCAACAGGCTCAACCCCCCCCCCCCCCTGGATCAAACATTAAGGTCGTCAGAAGAAAGGAACTGGTCGCGAACTAAAGAAGCTCTTGAATTACCATAGACGACGTAGAAAGAATATTACTTTTATCTTTTGTTTCAGTACTTTATTAACCGATATCTACCCTCATCCTTTCAGACTCCGTGTCAATCATCTTAATCCCTGTAGTCGCCTGTTTTTCTTTCTTTCCAACGGATTTGTATTGAGCTCTCTAGGCACAACACTTCCGTCAGTTAAGTCTTAAGAGTTAGACTGACAAAATATCACTTGGCGAAGACCTTTGGTGTTATCACTGACTCACCATTTTTGTTTCCTACTCCTAGAGCCAGGCTCAAAGCGGTGTGACCTTCATTGTTTGTAGCTGTTAAGTCTGCTCCATGTTCTAAACAGATTTAGTACAAATAAATAAAAGGAGTAAGTTTAACAGAAACTGTGGCCACCGTAGATAGTTTCCATAGCTGTCGTTTCGAGCATTAGCCCTTTGTCAGACTGAATACAGGAATTGTGCATTGTTTGTGATTTATATACAGAAAGAAGAAAGAAGTGATTTATTACCCACAATTTAATCAGAAGTCAACACCCATATAATTACTTTCTCATCAGTCCGTATAAACACAAGAAACATTCTGTCGACGGTAATCAGATACAGAATTCGTTGTAATACCAATCCAAAATGAATAGAGGGTACACTTCTGGAGAAACTGTGGTGCTGTGTTGGTGGGGGTATTACAAGTAAAGATAATCTAGTTTTATCTATTGAATTGATAATGTGGCCACCGTGGAGAATTTCTGAAGCTGACGTTTCCAGCGTTGGCCCTTCATCAGAGTAAATAATGCCAATCCCAACTTAGCTATCCTCGTTTTCCCATAAGAGAGACTTTTTAAGATCCTATGGGTTCCTGATGAATGTGAACCTGTTTCTTTTTTCTCCTAATAGTTGAAGAGTGTTGTGGTAAAGGTTTTCTTACCAAGTAGAAGTTTAACAACCTGTGGATACCCATTATACGCTGCATACATGAGAGGTGTACCCCCTTCCTGCAAACAAAATTTAGTCACTATGTGATTATACTGAACATTGTACAACATTAGTAATTTTCATATTTTTGTGCCTTTCTCAAGTCACTGCTCAATTTTCTTAAGAGCCCTCTTAGGCATTAATCAACAATACTGAATAAGTTAATACTGTTCATTGAGCCTTGACACCCAAATCATCAGTATGCATATTCTCCATAATGTTCTTTATACATTTCCTAAAGTGCTGACAAGGAGAATCTGTGCAATAATCAAGAGCTTGTTTAGTTGGTGATCATTTCCTTTATTCTCATGGCCTTAATGTTTGATTCAGGAGTGATACTGTAAGGAGAAATTACATGCTGGTCATTCTGAGGGTTCAAGGGCTTACCTTCCGAAGTAACCTTTTGAATAGGCATGCATCAAATACAACACATATCACATGTGAGTTGAAACTGAATACAAACCACATTTGCAACATCTGGATCAGCTCTAGATTCTAAAAGCTGCTCAACAACATCCAGTTGGCCCTGACAGGCAGCAAATGAGAGTGCCGTCTCTCCAGTTGGACTGCATGCTGTGGCATCTGCACCACTTTTAAGCAGCACAGATATGGTCGCTTTCTAAAACAGCAATATTATATGCCTAAGCAAGTCTGAACCACAGTTCGATTGAGTTTTTTGAAACCAAAACTGCTGTAGTCACAATAACCAATCAATGCAAGGGGAAATATTACTATGAGCTTGTGGAAAATCAAAATCAAAATTTTCAAAACAAACTGCCTAAAACTGGGGGAAATCATGGATGAACAGGACAAAGTAGGTAATAGTTTTTCATCTGACTGGATAAAGGGGGGTTAGTTCTTTCTTCATCATCAATTACTAAGAGACATATAGCAAAATCAAAGAAATCCTTCATAACTGTTGATGCTGAGTTGGAAATTTTTCATAATTGACTTAATGAAAGCTACATTATGCAAACCAGAGAATTGCAAAGATCAAAAGCATTTTTCCTCAATAGAGGGCAGTGCTAAAGCAATACCATAATGGACAAATAAGTGAGGCAAAATTGTAATAGCTACAGTGATATCAATCTTGTGGAAAAGAAGTGGGTTAACTAATCAGAAATATAAAGTGCTCTTAAATGACAACAATGAGGCTTAATTATGCCACAATGGTGTGAAGTGACCTTGAGTGGATGAAAAGGTATAGAGGGCTTCTTAAATATGGACTGGTCCTTGTGATTAAAATGAAATATAAAACTGGGCAAAGTGTGAACATGGAGTTGTACTCAATAGCGAAATGGCACAATATTGAAAGTAAAGTGGAACAAATCATCTAAGTGGGTTAGCCTTCTATGATACAATTACCTGTCTGTGGGCTGCTGCCCAAGCCAGAGGTGTTAGGCCTGTTTTATCTACAGCATTTACATCTGTTCCTAAAGTAAAGAACACAAACCAGCAGGAACCATAATTATGGTGAATATCCAACAGGTTATAGAGGAAAGGCCTTTTGAGAAACCTTGAGATGGACTTGGGAGATGAGAGCGAGGGTTGGGGGTAGGATGCAAAATGACAGAATCTGTTTAATGGGAAAGAAGAAAAACACTCTGCTGCTTGATGCTAAAGAAACCAGATTCTTAGAATGTGCTAACAGATAATAAACCGACTTCAAATCTTACACAAACCTTTGTCAATCTCTTCTTTTATTTTTGCAATTTCACCCTGAGCTGCCAAGAAATGCAGAGAGGGGTCTGGAAACATCAAAACTACAAAGTCAAACCATTGTTACAATGTTCCATGTACTTTAACCTTGCTAGTATTCTTTTGATACCAGCAGAAGACCTGGTACTATGAAAACATGTTGAAAGTTTCTGTCTGCTTCTGGTTCAACCATTTATACCACAGGCTACTAAATAAACCAATTTTGTCTAAGCCTTGCCCATTTTGTATACACTGTGTCAAAGTAGATTGCTGAGAGATTAATAAATTTGTAAAAAAATTCTTGGAGTTTAAAGATGTCGATGTTCCTGTATAAGGTCAGCATGCTGTATTACCACATCTGGCTTTTGTACATTGTTTGACTTTTAGTATTTTTCAACTTGAAACAAGATTGAGTCTAAACCAGTATAATTAAGAGATTTCAAATAAAATCCCATAGGATGTCTATTTAAAACAATTTTTTTGGTTCTGGAAAAAGTGCTAATTCAGGATCTGCATTGGCCTATCAGTGGAGTCCTATAAATATCGCAGGACCTAGCTAGGAGGGCGTACTCATATTATCCTTTGTGAAATTATTAAAGCACAAATCCAAAGAATTTACATGGCATGAATCACCCACTTCCCATCTGACAAATTGTTTTTTAGCATAACAAGCTATGATAGTACAGTGGGTACTCTCAGTCTAACAACATCTCCCCTCCCCTCCCCTTTGAAAAATTCCTGTTTGGAGTAGCTTTCCAGTAAAGCCAGTGGGAGTTTGGCCAGTGATACAAAACATGGTGGGTTTGAAAAGCATATTCTGCAATACAATGTTATAAATTCTTGGATTATACAAAAATTTTAAACTGTGAAATCTGGATAGCTCTAGCTTACACTGTGCTGCTGCATCACCAGTGCTAAGAGATTCTTGAATGTCATGATCCAACATCTGCAAAAACAGATGCATTTGGATAGCCTTAGGCAAGAAACAGATAAAATCACAGGAGCCTCTTTGGGTAAAGTTATAAAGCCAAAAGCTCAGTGGCATCTAATGTTTATACTGTTAAGAAAAACTTCTCTTCCTTGTAAATCCCATTGATGACTTACTCAGTTATACAATCAGAGGTAGAAAAAGGGTGGATTAGACTCGAAATATGTATGCTATCTAAAAATATAATTTAGGTAGAGATACTGGAGGAATTTACAAAGAAATCCTTTAACTTTGTAATGCTGTGAAAGTGAATAAATGACCCAAGACTCAAGTGATAAAGATCTTAATAATTTCGCGTGGCACAACTGTTACAATCTTGACAGAAAAAAAAAATTAACATCCCATCCGCCCCTATCTCCCCCGTTAGCATGATGAGGAAAAGGGCATGTTTGAGGCCTTGATGCAGTTTCATCTCTGTTCATGGGAGAGGAGGGATGAGTGAGAAGCAATAGCTTTTTCTCATTCTGCCAAAAAATGTAACTCGTACTGTTGTCAAAATTGAGAATGACATACCTTTATCCCAGTTGTCAACTCCTTTGTCGAGGAAGACCTTGAGCTTCGCCTGGCTGAGCTAGTTGGGCCAGACTGGGAAACATTGGGGTCTGAAAAAGAACAGTTAAGTATTCTTCAGGAGCAAATCATAAGCGAAAGTAAGCCAAAAAGAATTTCTCCTCAAGAGGTCCGTATCGAGAGTTAGCTGGGATCTCAAACACCCAAGAGATTGCTTTCTTCGTGACTGCAATCACAGTCACACATGACCGAGCTTCACCAAAATATGTTACATTTCTGGGCCAAAAACGCGAGTAATCAAGAGAGCGCACTGTGACTTTTGTAATGACAAAGGTACCATTTGTCGCACGGTCACCACGTGGTTTAAATTTCCCTCTCCCGATCCCTCACCTGTTCCTAACACTGCAGCCACCTCTTGGTCTGGTTCAAGGTGACAACTCACTTTATCTTGCATGTCTCCCTGTAGCTCTTGGTTACCTAGCATATTTCCCGACTTTACGAAATACAGATAAATACAATAACATTAAAAGTCACACAGAGTATTTGTCAAAACAAAGTAAATCGGCTGTCCTCGTTCCAGTTCTAAGTTCTGCGTTTGGGTTTGGCCGAGTAGACACTGGGAGTGCTAGTTAAATAAGCCAAAAAACCAAACGATTTTGTGCGACAGAATCAAGCATCGCAAGTACAAAAAACATTGTTGTTTTTTGGTTGCAAAACATAACGAAATAGATGAAATGGTCGATTGAATTATGTTACACCCTTCAAGCGTTATAGGATTATGACAAGGTTTTGCTAGGAAAAGCCCGGCGGCATGTTCAAGTTTAGTTTGGTTTAGTTTATTGAGATTTGCCACTGAAAAATACAATTTACAAGTAAATACATGAACAGAGACACGCAATAAATAAACAAAAATATAATGGCAGGAGAAAAATACAGAGCGAGCCCCATTTGACATTTGTCCCCTTACAAAATACAAGGAATAAAAAAAATATAGGTTACATATGCACTTATGTACTTTGTCTGTAGAATAAAATAATTTGCCAACCGACTGCGCCACTTAGTTAAAGCGTGAGCTTTTCGGTATAAAACCGCTTAACTAAGGCTTTAAAATTATGTAAAGAGCTCGCTTGCTTAATGTTGCTCGGTAAATCGTTCCATAATTTAACTGTGCGAGGAAAGAAAGAGTTTGTAAAATACCGCTGAGTATGAGTAAATAAAGGGCGGATGTTTGCAGGATGATGACGTCGGGTTGCGTATGTATGATTAGCAGGAAGCAGAAGATGGTCAAAGCTAACGTTGGTAAGACGAACCTGACCTAATTTTATATAAAATGGCAAGATCATGGACTTCTCTTCTGAATTCAAGCGGCAGTAAGCTAAGATTTTTCAGTCTCGCAGTGTAGCTGGCTTTCCTATCTGGGTAGTTTAGTACAAATTTAGTAGCCCGTCGTTGTATATTTTCGATTAGTCTACGATGCTTTGCTGTGTAAGGAGACCATACAGAGGATACGTACTCGACGATTGGGTGAACTAACGCAGTGTACATCATTTTCTTAGTTGATACGTTAATAATGTCTCTACCGCATACACGCTTTACAAGACCAAGAACTTTGTTACAGTTGGCACATATCTCTTCGATGTGCGTCGTCCATGATAGTGGAGTAGTGACAGTCACGCCTAATTCCTTGGTGTCAGGAGGCGAGTCCAAGGTCTGGCCGTCTAAATGGTATGTATGCTTCTCTCTTTGGCACGAGGTTCTCTTCGACATGTGTAGGACTTTACATTTGTTTGTGCTGAAAGACGTCACACCAAGTTTTGGAGTTGTCCAAGTCAGCTTGCAGCAGGGAGGCACATCTATTGGAAACAATAGGGCGATATAGCTTGCTATCGGCCGCAAAGAGGCCAAGTTTACTTCCGTGGGTAATGGAGCACGACATGTCATTAATGAAGACCAGAAATAAAAGCGAACCCAGGATGGAGCCCCGGGGTACTCCTGATGTGACCGGGAGCCAGTCTGAGGATATGCTGTCAACAACAACTCGTTGGTATCTATCAGAAAGATAGCTTGAGAACCACAACAAAACTGGACCGGATATACCAAGGAGCTGAAGCTTTGAGAGGAGTAGCCTGTGTGGAACCTTATCAAATGCCTTTGACAGGTCAAGATGGATTACGTCCACTTCTTGGCCATTGGCTAGTTTGTCTAAAATATCGTGATACACCTCAACTAGTTGCGTTTCTGTGGATTTTCCTGGCTGGAAGCTATGCTGGAGTTGGTGAAGAAAAGACGATAAATGACGGTAGCAGTGATTAAACACGCATCGTTCCATAACTTTGGAGACAATGCATAAAAGAGAAATTGGCCAGTAGTTCTCCGCTAGGGTAGGATCGCCCTTTTTAAAGACGGGTGCAATGTCCACGCGCTTCCAATTTGCTGGAAAAGAGCCCGTAGACAGCGACATGTTAAAGAGCCTGCATAATGAAGGGGCAATTTCAACAGCAGTATGTTTAAAGAGTGAACCGGGGATGTCATCTGGTCCACCGGCCTTACTTGGATCAATATTCGACAAAGCCTCCATCACTTCAGTAACTGTACGCATAACAGAGTCCAATTTCGTGCAGTCATTGACGCCATAGGGTGACTCGTGACTGATGTGTGGAGATTTGGGACCTGGACTAAATACAGAATAGAAGAACTTGTTAAGCAAGTTCGCTTTGTCGCGGCTATCCGTTAAGAAGCTTCGACCATCGCGGAGAAAACTGAGGGACAGCTTATCCAATGTACGCGATTTGACATACTACCAGAACCTCTTAGGGTTTTCGAAGATGCTACGGTTTTTAGTTTTTCTGCAAGATCTTTCTTCAAATAATAAAGAGCACCAATTATGCCCTCTAGGTGATCAATCTTACGCAATCTTTGGAACATTTCAGATTGTAATATTTTGACGAAAGCGTAAGCTTATGTATTACGATATGTACATCAGCTTTGCTTATAAATACTAAGTCCAGGCTAAACATTCGCTCTGACGAAGGGCTAACGCTCGAAACGTCAACTCTTGTAATCATTACGGTGGCTAATTTACCATTTCAACTTTGTTGATATATCCAAATTATAAACATGAAATAGCTCGAATCTCTGTTAGAACCAGTATGTACAATTGGGATTTAAGAGACTTTTCCTCCAAATAATGAGAGCATTCAACCTTCTACTAGCTTAGTTTCCTCGCTGGGGAAAAGGGGCAACGGGATAATTTCAAGTGAGAGGTGTGGGATGTATTCTAGATAAGCTACCCTTCGGGTGCTATCATCATCTAGGATACTCCCCCCACTCCCTTATCCTCTAGAGTAGTCCCCCCAACCCCTTATCCTCTAGAGTGGTCCCCCAACCCCCCACCCCCTTATCCTCTCACGTTTGTACATTCAAAAGTGTACATGCGCTTTATTTGCTTTCAAATAAACAAGTGCCACGGATTTTGACAGATCGTTATAAAAAAATGTTTCAAAGTTTGCATGGAAACCTTAACGTGTAAAATAAATTCGCCATTACGCAAATAAGATGTTTCAGTGAAGCTTACTTCTGTTTTCTCTGTTGAATTGCTCAATTTATGGAGGATATTGCCGTAATTACAGCCCTGAATCAATCAGGTTCTTTTCACAGGCATTTCATAGTTTTAAGAAATGAATAAAAATGTTATTCACCATCCTAGGTCGGTCTGTTTTTGGAAAAACTGTAGCCTGTCTTGGATGCCACCCTCAGCCTACGGCCTCAGGTGGTAGACCCCAGGCACAGTTTTACCCAATACAGACCTCCCAGCTGGTGAATAACATATATATATTTCTCATAATGCTCATACTGGTATGCTAGTGTAGGACCCCATATGTAAACGTCCGGCTCACGCCTCTGGCACCGAACCTCGACTGCATCAGCGAGTCGGTCGATTTATCTTGTTCTCATGGAGCCTGGTGACCTCGGATTTCCTCAAACCAATATCTGGAAGGCCATTTTCTAACTCGGTAGCGATGTGAACTGTTTTGTCTGCCGATTCCTCTGTAAACTTTTGAGGTCGGTGAACATCAAATGTGCGTTGGTTAGAAGCCTTAGACGACTTTGCAGAAGACGATGACTGTTTGTTCAGTGAAATATCGACTCCCCCGGACTCGCTGCTAAGAGTAGTTTCGTCCTTTGTTACGTGCATTTTCAGTTTTCCCGCGTTCCCGAGGACTTGGAATCCTCCGTATTTCACATCTGACTTTTTACTCCCTGACACGCTTTGTAAAGACTGTTTTTCATGTTTCCGTTTTAAATTATTTGTTTTTATAAAATATGGACCTCTTTTCAGCGTAATCCTCCCTTGCTTGTTGGCTACGGTGTTTAAATGAACCATTGGTTTCTTCGAATTATTTACATGGTGTTTCTTCTTTACTTGCGAACTTACAGGCATCTTTCTCCTGGAAATCTTAGATTTGCGAAAGCTTATTGAGTTCCAACCAGCCTGAGTCACATGTACTACGGGTTTGTCCGATTTAAGGACGGGATATTCCGCTGTACCAGGCTTGACTACAACTTGTACTGAGTCGGCTTGTGCTGTTACCTTCGCTTGGTCTTTAGTTGCTAAAATTTTCAAATCCCCTGATTTGTCTTCTACTTGAAAATGTGCCTTTTGTCCGGCGCTTTCCTGAGCCCGCACATGGCACAACCAAAGAAGCATGAACAAAATACTTCTCATCACGTAAAATAACGGCGATTTACTGATATATTTTTGACTACATGCCATAAAAGCACTACCATGTCTGCAGACTTAGCTGAATTTAAAAAATGCCCCTAACCGGTAGCTACCGACTGTTTTAAACCGTCTTGATTGTCACTTTGAATAATTAATCAGGGCGAGCACCTTTCACACCCTCCAAAATCCTTTGGAAAATCGAAATAAATGTTACGGGCCTCATTTCAATTCCTATTTGTAGTCAGTGCCTTTTTATTGAAACGGACCGTTTGAGTAAATTCCCGGCTGCAACTTTAAAGTACGATAGCTCAATTTTCACCCTCACTAACTGCCACCAGGCATATTTATCGGGTGGTCTGATTTAGTCACTAGCGTTAAGAATGAATTAAAAAACACGCAGATCTTAGGAACATTACAGGCCGGACGTTGATAAAACCTATGAATTTTGCTAAGATCGTTTAATTTTCTGTTTTTATTTCTCAGCGCTAATTAATGTTTTCGTAAACTTCAGTTCATTTCAAGTGTTTATTTATCTAATATAAGCTACAACACCATAACTTGAACATGCAACAGTGCTCTGCGTATAAACTACGTAATTTACTTGATTCATTTGCTTCAGACCATTCTGAGGGATTGAGGGAATTCTGTATTGAGTCATGACAAAAACAAAGAATTGCCTTTTTGAGTTTTTAAATCTTTTTCATAAGACTAGCAACGTCTCCCAAGGTTTTAGCTCATTCGGTTAGACCATGTTTTCTTCTTAGCTCTCTTTCAATATTAATTCAACAGGTTGTTTTGTCGATACTATTTGCTAATCTGTTCCTTTGTTTGTCTTCTTCACCTGTTTACGGGCGTTATAGTAAATCATAAGAAAAAAAATTTATCATGGCAGTTTCTGGATTAACAAAATTACTTAAAATCTATTTGTTCGCTTTTTTTATTTCCATCGTCTTACTGATATCACAGACCAAGTCATCACCAGTTCCGCAGGAGTTCCAGAAGCCTCATTTCCAGGTATTTATTCTTCAATGCTTGAGAAATTTAGGACTTCAGAGCGCGAGAGCAGGAGCGATCGATTTTGCATTTGCTCGTTGACACATTTCCTTAAATTTTGACTTGGTGGCTGATCAGTTTCTGGACGCTGTACCGTCATCAAGAGAAGATTTGTTCTCTTTGGTGTATTTCATATAGTCTCTCCATTCCTTTGAACATATAGAATCACGTTCCTGTTTATTCATGCAAGAGTCGCCAATTTTGATCTTATGTTTCCTGTCGTCCTCAGGTGTGACAGTTTAAGAACAAATGGGAAATGGTGTCTGGTAAACGAAAATACCACTGAGCCCTTGTTGGTAACTACTAAACACCTCGCGCGAGCGAGGGAAAAACTGAAATTTCTTTCTGTGATGATGCGAACCCGAACTAGCTCCAACACTTTTGCGATTTTCAGTCAGGTTCTCTAATAGAATTCTATAATGAGCTATTGGCTCCACAGCCAGCTGCTGTTCGTGAAATCTGCCGACGCTCCTCCTGGCAAGAGAAGGAACGTTGGCCGAACTCTCTAAGAAAGTAACTGGGAATGAAATCGGATTAAATCACACTAAGAAGTGGTCAGGGTTATTACTGAGGCCTATGCATTCTATTCTTGACAGGTAGAACATAAGGCCGGTGTTTTATCCATCACGGCAACAAAAGATAAAGCGGACGTTGACGTCAAATCTGACACCATACGTTTGCTAGTCAAACCTGGAGACAGACAAGTTCCGGTTGGTGATGCACCGGAAGTCAAGACAGTCCACATAGAAGGAAGTTACCCACAAATTTATCCCGTATAGCAGTGAAGGGAAATCCAGCGATACATTGAACCTCTTTAGCAACGTGATCTCAGACAATTTTATACTAAAAAAATGAATACCTAAAATTAAGAAAAATGTCACAACCTTACTGGAAATGGATACGCATGAAAACCAGAAAACAAGGTTATCAGGTCGTGTTTAAATTGTAAGCTTACGGGAATGACGCCTATACCGCATGGATATAAGTAGTCGTGCGCTTACGGTTAGCAGATGTCAAGTGTACCCGAATAGAAATGAATGGTTCTTGCCATGCGGTGCAAATAGATGGCGAACAATTACGGTCACACCCTATGAATAGGGCATGCAACCTCAGCTCTCTCCAATATTTTTAAAGACTTTTCTGCTTTATCGTCGTCATCGTCAAGGCAGAAATCACGGGAGCGTGAAGACTGTCAGGCGTTATTAAGAGAAGAGAACCCATGGGACCAGAACTAGATCCGGACAGGTCTAAGGACAGATATCCTGTCCATGAACGAGCACGACAGTCCATTCCGCTGAGTCCGACATGCATGCGGATGGCGGCATGAGTTGTAGTCTCATGGGCAAACAAATAAACAGCGACTGAATGAACGTAGAGGTTGTTGTCACTAGGCTCAGTGCATTTGAATGGTGCTGGCTTAGAGCTGGTTTAGACAAACTTATTCAGCACCTATTAATCTACGAAGCTCCTCTTTCTTAAAGTACTCCGCATGTAAAGAGGCACAACATTCAAGACGGCCATTAAAAAAATTTCATTCAGTTGCAACATTTTTATTTAAGACTGCCGTCAGTTAGTTTAATTTGAGGGCACATTTTCACTAAAACACTCCTTAAGAAAACTCTTCACGGGTTTGCTGCATGGAAACATTGTTGACAAGACCAGGATCCATGATTCTCGCATCTCCACATGGTAATGTCAGTCTGAAACAGAATTAAATAAAAGCTTTTCATAATAGTAATTTGTTAAGTGTAAAATGTAGTTTCTAGTCCAGTTGCTTATGACGCCTAATCGGTATCTGAGAGGCATAGGTCTGTGTACAAAGTCCTTACTAAGCCTGCGCTGGACTGTTGTGCGGGAGGTCGAGGGTTTGAGCCCCGGCCGGACCAACACTCAAGGTCTTAAAATAATTGAGAAGAATTTGCTACCTTTCTATAACATCAAGAAATGGTTAGATATTCTAGTCTTCTCGGATAGGAACGAATAAATGGAGGTCTCGTCTCCTACAGGGTTGGGGTAGGAGACGTCAATTTCCCACACACGAAAGTTCTGTTGCTTTCTCCTGCCATTCCCGTGGCGAATGAATTAAATTCTAAAAATTCTGAATTCTAAATTCTGTGCCTTAAGCAATTTTTTTCATTGCAATTTATCTGTGGGGTTAAATTCTTCGCAAGCGACTGCTCCCGCATCTATCACTTTTTGTTATTTCATTACGCTTATAGGTAAATAACAAAACATTTTTTGAGTTTGCCTGTGTTAGGTGCGCTTAGATAAAGGTTTGCAAATGTCTCAGTACATTTTCAGACGAAACCGACTCAGGGCCGGGCGTGATTATGAATTTTTCGGTGTTCGATTTTATGTTAACAGAAGTTAAGAAGTTTGTTACAGTACTGAAATAGATGGCCCTTGTTCATAGATTGAACACTGAAATGTTCATTAATAAAGAATAATATGTGGACACGCGTAGATATGGAATTTCTTTTCTAGTGTTCAACTCGATATCTCACCACTAAGTGCAGCGAACGAGTGAGATCGAGTTGAACGCGAAAAGAGAAATTTCATTTCTACAAGCTGATTGGCGATATCAAACACAAGTAAAAAATATCGTGATTTTACACGTGCGCAGTTACGGACTTTCTCATGGCTGGAAATCCATATAAAACACCGCACTTCATTGATGAAAAAACCGTGAACTCACTGGCTGAGAAACGTAATGGCTGTAAACGTATCGTCCTTCTCTAACCGGTAGAGTGGTGGCAACAAAGGAGTTCAGTTCAGTTAAAGGTGATACTCTCTGTTGAACGCTTCTGAGCTGATGATTAACAGACATGCCTTGCGGAGTCATAGGGGGTTGATCCATTTTGGCACGAAGTTCCCCTTCAAGCTTTGAACCCGTAGCTGTGTCAACTGCTGATGGGGTGGGAGCTGAGTTGCTCAATGCAAGGAGAGCGTAAGCTGCATCAATTTCTTCTTGAGTGTATTTCTTTACGGGAACAATGGTTAATCATATAATCACGAATAGCAAAAACGTAAAGTCTAATACAAGGGCGTTGCATAGGGAGAAGGTCTTTGGACATTCTACATTTGACTATCCTCTTAGTCAAGAAAACCGCAACTTCCCAAAATAATTTTTGATACTTTGCGCAAGAATCAATTCAGGCTTTGTTAAAGGGCAAGTAATTGAAAGGATGCACTTCATTGGATATAATGGGGAGCGTATTATTATAGAAACAAGATGATCGTTGCATGAAGCATGAGTTTGCAATAAATTTTGCCAGTCCTTACTTATTTTAGAGTCCATTCATGTACAGCATGCGATTGAAGAGCTTATATAAATGTCTGCCCCCGTGGCTCATTTTGCGTGCTTAAGGCCGCCATTGCGATTGGCGAGCAAAGTTATTTGCTTTTATTATTAGTCACGAAAATCTAAGAACTTTGCATTGTTTCTCGTTAACTTATAAAAGGTATAGCAATTGAATCACCCGACTGTTCCATGTTGTAAGGTACTTAAGATCGTTAAAGATCGTACACTATCCGCTTTCTACATCATTTCACGAAAACAGTGTTAATTACTTGTCAAATACCTACATTCTGATTCTTTTGTTGCAATCGATTGCTTGAGCTACAGGCCTTCTCTGAGACAGATTCCATTATAATCCTGAAAATCGACCAGGGAAGTGATTTCTGACAAAAGAAAGGTAAAGTTTGTTTGTTTTATAGATGCAATCACTGTTGTTGTTGTCGCTTTTTTTTTTTTCCCACGGAAAAATGTTTTGGAAAATTCACTGTTATGTGATAACTGATTGGTTAGTTCTTCTTTAAGGGACAGTTGATTGATTATATGATAATATCGCACCGAGATAAAGTAGAGTTTGTGACTTCCGTTACGTTCAAATAGGTTTGAGTAACAACCTGGATTTGTGATACTGTGATTGTAAAAAAAACGGTTTATCAAATGGCCTTTAAAATTTACCTTAAGAAGTTTCCTCTTGAAAAATATACGCTATCGACAGGTTGAAAGTTCAACTTGAGTCCATGGAAACAGATGACTTCATAATAGTGTCAATTTACGTGGCGCGCGCTCATCAGAAATGAGAACTACTCTCTTTCATGTTATTAATTTCAATTTTTTTAATACTATTNATGTACCAACCGTTTGTTAAGTGAATTTCATAGGATCTTGTGAAACCCTTTACGAAGTATGTATGTATGTATGTATGTATGTATGTATGTATGTATGTAAATCTTTATTTAAACACGGAAAATCATCAGTTACATAATAAAAACTAAGATTAATCAACTGCTTTACATGATTGCCGTGTGGGAATCCTATATATCGACTACGTTAAGATTTCGCCTAAAATGGTTAATGGATGAAGCATTTTTTAAGTTTTTGGGCAATTTATTCCATAATATGGCCCCGCTGTAAGAGAAGCTTCGTTTCAAATAATTGGTGTTTGGTTTGGACAAGGCCAGCCTTCCCTCAGAGTTTCTTATGTCGTACACAGAGTGACGCTGAGAGAAAAGACTTTGTAGATATTCGGGAGCAAAGTTGTTCATAATTACATAATTACATAATATACATAATTACATAATTACATAATTACATAATTACATAATTACATAATAACATAATAACATAATTACATAATTACATAATAACATAATAACATAATAACATAATAACATAATTACATAACTACATAATTAGATAATATACATAATTACATAATATACATCATTAGAGTTTTTTGTCTCTCTCGTCGAAGAGATAGCCTCTCCCAATCGAGGGTGGAGAAAAGGTGGTTTAAGCTCGTATCAAAGGGTAATTTAGTAATAATTCTGGCTGCCCGATTCTGTAATTTTTGGAGCTTATCGCTTAAGTAGCCACTTAAACAGTCCCAGACGGGGCTGCAGTAATCAAAATGAGGCATAATCAAAGCGTTATAAATTCTCGTTAACATGTGCTCGATTGCTCGAAATTTCGTTAATCCTGCTTTGTAGTTATTTTTTATTCAGATATAAACGATAAATCAGTTATGATATGATTAAAACAAAAAGATTGAAATATCCCTACCTCCGGCTTCAGTCTTTCTTCAACAGTTCAGTCTGTAATTGTTTTGGAGGCGCTGTCTGTACTATCGGAAAAACGCACGAAGCTTGATGACAAACATTTCGCTTATTGATTTATACTTTATCATATGTCATTGTCGCAGGCTTTCTGCTTGAGAGGGGTACAGTTTCGCAGTTCATATATGTGATCGTTCACCTATTCACTTGTTTCTTAGGTTATTAACAAGTACCCAAAAGATTTCATTTCTGTTAATACTGGTTTTGCTTTTCACTCAGTAGATTTGCTTTGATTGCTCGAAGCTAGCCTTACAATTGTTGATTCCTTGACCAGTTTCCCGGGTATTTTAACCACTGACTTAAACCTTCTTTCGCTTGAACAAGAAAACGAGACTGTAACACGATCTATTTACCAGGAAATTCTGATAGGAAGCTCGACATAACGGTAGGTGACATAATCTCCTATCATAGGAGACAAAATACTTGCAACCTTTGTTGATCTAAATTCCCAGTTATTTGAGCAAATTATCAGGGTTTGTAGACATGATGGATTTTCCAGTGTGCAATGGGAAATAAAATGGACGGAGCCATGATATTTTGAAACAGTGTACCCCGATCGCATTTTGTAGCGGTTTTTTCTTCCTTGGAAACTTCTTGGCCTTTAGTAATAATAACTATTAAAATCTGATGCCAAACGGTGGCATATCAGTAAAACCCGATTAATTAAACAAAACAACATTGACAACAACCCTCGGTCGTTTGGGCTTTACCGGAAATTCTTTAATGAAATGTTGCTTTAATCATTTTGATCAGAGTTACTAACTCTGTTTTGATTAAAAATTAAAGGCCTAGCCAAATGAGGAGACATGTCTAGAAACTTAATGTCTCCATGTCGCGCGGAAACACGAAATGTAAGAATTCTTCTCGAAAGGCACCATCGAAGGTAGAAAGTAATCTAGAGAAATACTACTATTACCAGTACTATTTGACCCTCAGAGCTACTACAACAGCTTGTCAGATCTGTACGGCTGCAGCTGGTTAGATTCTAAAAGCCTCCAAATAAATAAAGCTTGATTGTGTTGAATCTTTTTCAGTCGATCAGCGGGAAACCAGTTTGCCGATCATCGACACCGAAGCCCAAAATGCTTGTTAAACCGAATGTCACGTTATCTACATTTCATAAGAACTATATAGCCAAAAACTTTCCATACATTTTAGCGTCGGGTTAGAAAGAGATGGAAAACTTTAGATTGCGGGCTTTGGATCTGGTACATCTCCTTTAGAGCTCTTGAAGTTCTTGAGCGTCCACCCTGACTGACTCATGTGAAACAAGTGGGGCCCAGTTGGCTGTAAGATGCTGGGACTGGTTGAACCACCCTAGCTTTGCACCTATTGTTCAGTTTTGGAAGTGTCAGCCAGATTATTAGCTATTACCTGGCGCAAAACAACGTATCCTATTAATAAAAGAGAGATTCCGGCTTGCGGAAAATTTACGAAGTACTCTAAGTGTTCGCTGCTCGTCATCTGTATTTTTCTAAAGTGCTCACTGCTCGCCATCTGTATTTTCTAAAGTGCTCGCTGATTGCAAGAAAAATTTGACAACTGCTCGTTCTCGCAAAAATAAATACACTGCTCACATGCTCGCAAATGCTCGCCAAGACCATTTGATACCCCTTTCGAAAAAAAGAAAGAAAAGAAGAACGAGCGCGGAATATAGAGTCAGCGGTAATTTCTTGTAGGGAACGAGCTATTCATGTAATTAGAATTGTAATATACTCACCATGAGTATTTTTAAGATGGCGGCGTCTCGACGGAGGAATATTAAGTATAGTAATTCTTGACCAAGAGCTGTGAAGTTGTCTCCGTAGTAGTCAAAACGATGACTAAGCTATGGTTTTTATTCACGTTTGTTCTTTTCCCAAAATACCTTCTGCAATCGGTGTTTGGAGGTAAGCCAAGACACCGGAGTTTGTATTCTATAAAGCCTGTGAGTCTGTATGTGTTTATATACTTCTGTATGTCTAGCAGCCGGACAGGTTTTTTAAATTATTCCTTGTCTGGCATTCACAAATCTTTACAGAATTTCTCCTAATAATTAATTGGAAATCCTTAATAGAATCAGATGCTTGTTCAGAAATATCAAGCGATTACAAAACTTACTTTGGTTTTCAATGGACGAATTTTTTTGGCCAGTGCATGCCGTAGAGTTGCTAGGTTTTCAGACTACCAGACGTAGAGTATTTTAACCAAATTATTTATGAAAGATGTATTCCAAATACATCCTTCATTGATTCTGATGCTCGCACGTAAAGATACATGATAAATGATAAATTGTTGTATCACATGTGCAGGAAACATAATACTTAATCTTGCTGTTGGTATTGAGAAAGTAACACTTGTTTTTTCGGTATGTGCAGACGATATTTTTCCTAGGAACCCAATACTCTCCATTAATTTGTTTTCCCATTTGATGTTGCACACTCTGTCTTTTGCTTGCCAGTGATGTTATTCATCAGGTAATTTCTGTATTTCTAATAACTGGCTGAACTTAAAAGACTTTTTATTTTGCTTTCCAACTCTATAGGGAAGGTAAATATTAACTTGACAAACTTCCAGGAAGGTATAATTGTTGTACCTGAGAATGTTCAAGAAGGATCATTACAAGTACAATTGACAGGAGATTTTGTTTCTATACCTGTAAGTTTGCTATGAGCAACAATTTTGCATTTTATGGAGGGATGTGATCAAAATTTCCAGATAATTCTACTTTTTGCTTTCATCGATTTAGGAACTGGGTGGAAGACATTATTATTGTGTTGTTCGTTGTGACATGTTATTGCTTGATAACAAGCAAAACCAGTGCAGGTGCATGTCAAGTATATCCAAGAGGAACTGGCTGGTGTACAAAAAAGTTTAGGCTCTCTCTCTCTCTCTCTCTCTCTCTCTCTCTCTCTCTCTCTCTCTCTCCCCACTCTTCCCCATTTCCTCCCTCTTCTCCCTCTCATCCCTTTTTCCCCTCTCTCCCTTCTTCCCCCACTTTCCCTTCTCCCCCTCTCCTCCCTCTCCCCCCTTTTCCCCTCTATTTCTTTCTCCCTCTTTACCCTTAACCCCTCTCTCCCTTTCTCCCTCTCACCCTCTCCCCCTCTCCCCCTTTCCCTGTTTTCCCCTTTCCTCCTCTCTTTCCCTTTTCCCCTCTCCCTCTCTCCCTCTCTCTTTCCCTTTTCCCCCTCCCTCTCTCCCCTCCCCCTTTTCCCTTTTCTCCCTCTCCCCCCTTCACCCCTCTCTGCCCACTAGAATTAATAACCATGCCTGTGTCACATGTGGGTGGAGTTCTTCCTAGTTTTCTGCTTTCTTTGAAGGAGTATTTGAATCCCCCAATTATCTTTAGTTATTTTCTTTGCAAAGATCATCTCACCTGATTGAAACATTGCATCAATGCTACTTGTGTCCCTGATTAGTTCACATAAGTGATCTGGCTGGTAATAGGATAAGACACTGGTAAAGTTCGTCACTTTTATTAAAGAGTTATGCTGATATCAAAATTTGTATTAAGGTTACAGTCATTTGCAGCACTTTGGAAACTGGTCCTGGCTTGACAAGTGTAGAATTTATTAATTCCTCTGCACCTGTTGGTTGTACACAAGTTAAATTCAGGTGTGAATTTATACAACATTATGATACAGTGCAACTGCAAGGTTTCATTTTATACTCCAAATATATCAGTTGTCAGAAAGTAATGTAGTGTACTTGATGTAAACTTAATGACTAACAAGAATGGGCAATAAATATGCAGGGATTTACTATGTTTTATTTCTACACACAACTAGCTTCCAAATTGCATTGTGTCATGGTCCCATGCAGATGCATTCAAATAGCAAAGCCTGGTATTCTAACTTTCTAATCGAGCATTAGCCTTTCATCAGAGCCCTATCCCTCCTTCAATGGCTTGATACTTAAAACATTAGCTTCAGAAACCCTTTGCATTATCAACTCAGTTGATAAACCAAATTACATTTTAATGCTCAGTTGATTTGTTTTATTTTGGTCAACACAATCTCATAGTTTTTCCAGAGTGTTAAAGGTGAATAAGTGATAAAATATGATCAGCTTAACCCTTTAACTCCCAAAAGGGATGAACAAGTAACTTCTCCATGTAGTATCCATACATTATGCACCAAACAGATCATGAGAATACTCAAACTAAGCAGGTAGAAGTTGTTATCCTCATCTAACACCAAATTTTTTATACTATTTTACAAGGAAATGTGCTAGAGGGGAGAATTAACCATTGGCTCTTGTGAGGTTAGGGGTTAACTATATGTAAATGACTCAGGTCACCAGATATTTATAATGTACACTGTATTTCTTTTGCAGGATAATATCACCTGGTCGGCCTGTTACAATCCAGTGCTCTGGACAGAGTGAAGAGGAATCAACAGGAAACAATGCGTAATTGTTTTTGATTATCTATTATTCCTTTTTTTAAAGTTTAGAAAAAAAAGAAAAAATGTCAGCAAGATACACCGAGACATTGGAGAGGAGGCTGAACTACATACATTATGATAAAGTTATACCCGAAGGAAGAGGAATTGGATAATGTTTGCACTCAAATTTGTTCAAATTAGCTAATTTACGTGTAAAAATTGCAACAACTACTGTGACAGATGGGTTCTGTTATAATTCAGTGCTGTAATAATGGCATCTTATTGAAGAGATATGGTTTTCTGGAGAGTCCCCTGAAGAATTGGTGGGAATGGTTGGTTAATTTTTTTTTATCTCCCAGAATATTTTTCTCCATGTAAAAGACACTTATTTGAAAGTCAGTGTCATAAAGCTGTTGTTGCATAAGTTGTGCTGATTATTTTTTTCAGATTGCTGCATGTTACTAAGGCACCAACTGTCCATGTTTGCCCAGATGTTGTATTACTAAAGAGATATCTTCCTAAATCATCTTTCCAAGTGCAGTTCAGGTGAACGTATAATGTACTTGTAGTGTTATAATATTGGTTAATTGCAGAAGAACAACCTAGACATGTTGCTGAGTAAGGCTTACAGTAATGTTCATTAGACAACTTATAAAGAAATGGATATAAGCACAAACAGTTCAAGGCACACGGGATATGTGAATGTGGTTCTTTTAAATGACAGTACTGAAGTGTTACCATCAGACCCATTATGAATGAAATACATGAAATAATTAATAATTATTCGCCAGAGGCGAGGTGAATATCGTCAAATAATCCCCGAGACGAAGTTGAGGGGATTATTCGACAATTTTCACCGAACCTGAGGCGAATAATTGTTTTAGTATAATTTCAGAGCTGAACAACAGAGAAATTTCTAAAATCATAACAATTTAGTAACATTTATTAACATTTTTAACATTTTATATAAACTGCGTGGAGTGGTTTATATAGCGTCATATAAGGAACCGCTCGACCAATCAGATTGCAGGAAACTCTTTGCTCATCTCTGAAATTATACTAAATGACTGTAGTACTTTCAAATGACACTATTGAAGTGTTACCATTAGACCCATTAGGATTTTCACTGTGTAACAATTATTGACTGAGGTAATGATCTACAAGTTTCATCTTACACAGTTCTAAAAATAATCAGTGCAACATTTGATTTAAATATTGATGTGGGTTGACAAAAAGTCCTGTCTGTGAATTCTTGGGACAGAGAGTCTTATGATGGCATAAAGTGGGGACTGTAGACTATATACAGGATTTGTACTGGTCCTGGAAAAAGTGGAAAGTCCTGGAATTTGAAATCGACAATTTCTAGGACTGAGAAGTCCTGGAAAAGGCTATAGTTTCTGGAAAGTCCTGGAAATCTGCTTAACTTAAGCCATAAAGTTTTCAGAATTTATGTTATAAGGAATACATATAGACCAAAGGAAAATTGATTTTGAAATCTTGGGAATGAAAAGGTTTAAGATGAAATTTGGAGTCCTGGAAAAATCAATCTGAGTCCTAAGTCATACTGGTTTTAAGGGGTGCTTCTGTCACTCCTGCTAAGGAATTTGATTGATCATTTTTATTCTTATCTACTTTTCAAATACTAATAAATTTATATACTCTATTAGGATCCTCACATATTTTATATATTATGTTACATATTTTATGTTTTATTTTTACCTAGTTTTCTCACTTATTTCTTTTTTTTCGGTCAAGCATTTAATACATGAGCCTCATTTCTTGGAAGTTATGGCAACCACTTCCCACGTCATCAATAATAAATAAGTTATCTATATTAGGTTACATTATATGCTCCTCATATTTTAAAATCAAATCATAAAATCTGCTTTCTTCTTCAGTGAGGAGATTAAAGGTTCATCTGTTGTTGTCCAGTGTACTCCCATTGAGGCGGATGGTAAGTATGTTTGCCTCTTACAGAGTAAGAGAGACTGGAGTCTATTTGCCTTCAAAGCTATCTGTTTTGTTAGAGCTTTGAACAGCTGTATGTTTCTCCTTTTCACAGCCCTGATGTCTTTGCATTTTCATCATGGGTCTGAAAAACCAGCAGCCCTCTAGCTCCTTTAACTAAAAGTGATACAAATTTAACTAAGAGAAATGCAATCTGTCTTGGCCCTTAAAAATAATGTGATTGGACAGTGTGAATGTAATTTTCTAATTGGTGGTTTTGTCATAAAGAATCTAATGGTCTAATGTTCAATTTTGTGTGGGAAGTAAGAATTTTTGTCTTTGTGACATCTTTGTGACAAGATGAAAAACATCTTTCATTGAGATAATTATGTTACCTATCTCTGACTGTCACAGTAGCCAAGGCCCAAACACATATTTTTCATTTCTATTTTGGAAACACAAACCATTTTTAGGGAATGGATGTTAAAATATTTTGTGACTGTATGAAAAGGTAGTTTCATCCAATGTGTTATCTGTTTATCTTCACCCTTGTTAGGCGACTCTTCAGTGCTACAGATAAAGTTTACAGAGACAAGTGTTGATGTTGGTGCTTCCAAAGCTCAGGTGTTAAGTGAATTTTTAGAGTACAGCCAATTGTTCTTTCTAGTTGCTAGATGCTATAAACTGGACTGTCTTATTAATTTGTATGATATGGTACGTACTATGAACTTGCTGATCTTGATGAAAAGAAAATGTTCATAAGTTTCACCAGATTATTCATTTAGTGACAAAAAGTAAAACCAAACCAACTAGAAATGCAGTGGTGGATTACTTCCAACACTGAGTTGACAACTGCTTGTTACAAAAAACACTTGGAAAGTAATCATCTCATTTCTCTGTTATCAAAGTTCACATGTTCCCTCATTATTCTGCTTACTTCGGCATCCTTTCCTTGACTTGATTCTCATTGGTTTGGTTCTAAAGGTGTCTTACGAATTAGTATCAGTTGGTAACCCTGTGCAAGTGATATGCAGAGCAGATTCCTCTAACAGGACAGCATCACCAGTATCCTCAGCAGTCAACAAGGCTACCAGCAGAGTAAGTGGGACTTCTGTGACTTCACCTTCACCGACAAGTGTACCATTAACAACATCAACAGTGACTGTGGGTAGAGACAGAAAGAAAAGGAGCGTTGATGTGCTCTCTCCTGACAGGGTAGTGCATCAGTATTTTTTCAACAATTCAGCAGGTAATAAAATGTTTATCGCTATACTACACGCAGTTTATTGCACCCAGCTTTTCTAGCGTGGGCGAAAATCTGTGGGAAACTAAAGATGAGATGGTACCATCTGTCTCTCTCAACACTGGAAACAAAAAAAGTTTGAGATAGGGCGCTTTGGACATAGTTAATAGCCAAGGACGGAAAAATAGACCATAAAGTATTTGAATAGAAGTGCACGTATTCAGTAAAACGTATAAGGTTTGCTACATATCCACAGGAATTCTAGGTAAAGGAGGTTTCATTATTTTGTTGGTAAAATTAAAAAGGATTTCAGCATTTTGATTGTTAGAATGTGCGTCTAACTTTTAAGACAGCTTTCACCATTCGGTTCTGTCGAAGGAAGTGTTTATAAGTCTAATTCAGGAGTTCTTGTCTGAGCACCATTTTTAAGTTGCGTATTTTCCCCCGAATACTACTTTTAGTGGTTCCCGTGACTTTTTGAATTATCATGTGGTTACTGTCTACCCTCAGGACCCACTGTGACGTTTGCTATGGATGTTTCCCCTTTGCGGATTCTCCCGCCAGTGGGCTTCATCCGGGTACCTAGCGGGAGATTTAGCGCGGTCTTGGCACTAGACAAACCAGCTGAGGACCTTGTGGACGTCACGTGTTCAGTAGATGTTGTACCACGTGGGACAGATCTACAGAACACTTCAGAAGTGTGTTCCGGTCCTACTAAAGATAAAGTAACTTTTACTAACAGTTCCGTGGAAATACAACTGAACAAGAAAGACATTCAGTTCCAGGTGGGAATGAACTTTGTTCAAACCATTTGAAAAGGCCCTGTCTTTGTAGAAGAAAGTTCAACATGTATCGCTCTTGTACTCATGGATTTTGGGAAGTTTTTGATGCAAGTTGAGGGTGACTTAGGATCTAACTATCTTCTGCATTCTATGTTATCTTTCGTGTTCTTGCCTTTTTTGTTTGGCTTTGCACAACATGTGTCAAGAGGCCCACGCTTGGCTGTACTAATCCCCCTGAAGGAGTAGAACGTTTTCCCTTGGAGTTAATTACCGAGACTATCTTTGAGGGTTTGTAGGTAAGATTCCGGACTGAGCATGCTTTCATGCTGACCCTATTTAAAATTAATCCAAGCAAGCGAACAACTGTAGTAAAGGAGGGGGGGGGGGGAGGGAAATCTGATCCCGTTCCACTCACGAAGTTTAGAAAAATTCACGCGTCACATGTACTATAAAAAGTATTTCACGAGCCACGATTTAAAAAGGGACAACTCCAAATCTCACCTTACCTTTACCTTTCTGTAAAATTCACACGTCACGTATGAATTTTGGGCCTAATCACGTGTCGCGTATCGACCACACTTTAAACCTTACATGGAGATAGGTAATTCTTTTGACTATTTTGTTGTTATTTTGTTATATGGATTGTCATCGTTTCTACCTGTCATTTCATTCACTGAAACGTCCATAACCTCAATTTTTTGCCCTCTTTAGAAAGGTGAACTATTCCAGACTTTAGAATTAACTTTAAGTGAGAGTCCTGCGAGGCGCACGGAGGGCCTGGTGCGAATCACTTGTTGTGGTCAGGCTACAGTGTTGAGCCTTCTATATGCCAATCGATCAGCAGAGGCCTTCCTTTGGGTTGAACTGCGCAAACTTCAACCGATAGATTGGAACATTATAACAAGTAAGTACAAGCCAGGGGGCCGAGGGGGCGGACGGTGATTCACTATTAATTTCAAAAGTGTTCAAGTATATTTAGCATAGGTCTAGAATTTTGTGTCATGTTCTATATAACTCACGCGCGTGTCTTTCCTTGAATAAAAGGGGGCAAGTTACGCTTTAGAAACTCTCTACTGTGGTCAATTTTCATTATCAATTCAGTTGATTAAACTAAATTACCTTGTAGTGCCCCCCTCCCCCACCCACTACCACCGACGTGGCACCACAGTTTCCTTAGCCCTTTTTTGGGGCGTTTCGTTAGCCCTTCGTCAGCTCTTCGTAAGCCCTTCGCTCTTACTAAGCGCTAGAGCTCGACACGTCAGCTTAAGAAACGCTTTATGGTGGCCAACTTACAAAAACTTAATTCTCTGGCTTGAGGCAGGTTCCAGGTATTTGATGAGTTTACAAGGTTTTTTCTGTTCGGTACCTTTGTTTCCTGTTGTGCTGTGTTCGCGGCACCAAGTTAAAAAGCGCAAGGTTGTCGAAGGGTATTCAGTGGAATATTACGAGTAAATGAGTATTTGTCTCCGGGTCTTACCTCGTGGAAACTACATACTGTATCATACTTGGTATGCTCGTGAGAAAGCATTCAGAAATTGAGATCGCGTCTGGGAAAATTTCACGACCACTGCAACCTCTTGCCGCATAATTCAATAACTTCGTTTCAGTACAGATACCATTTGCAAAGTGATCGTCAAGTTATTTATCGATAGAGAATGTTTACCTGCAGGTGGCGTGAGAAAGAGCACACTGGTCTCTGATATAGATCTGACTTGTCCTTGTAATTTGAAGAAGGCGGCTTGTGACACGGGATGTTGTTGTGACCAGGTAATAGTTTAACCCTTTCAATATTAAGTTTTAACTGTTCGTACTTATCCTGGAAGTTTCAACCCATTGCAAGTTTGGCCCCTACAAGTTTACCCCCCTACAAGTTTGCCCCCCTACAAGTTTGTCTCCGGCGAGTTCGTCCCCCTACGAGTTTGACCTCTACGAGGTCGCCTGTTATGAGTCCTTCCTCGTATAAAAATGATGTTTTCACTATGCCAGAAAAAATCTATTTATTTCGACCATATACTGTTCTCATCTCGATCTCATTTCGTTCATGGCCTGAACATTTCAGAAATCAAGCTTTTCCTGTCTTTTTTATGTCCCTCTCGAAGCGAGATGGTCTCCAGTTGTTGATTAGAAGCCTATCTCTAATTTTGTAAAGTTGTTATATTCGGTACAGTTTGATCTAAAAACCCAGGATTTTGTTTATCTAATGTTTTTTTTTTCTTTTTTTTTTCTTTTTTTATTGTGGCACAATAACAACTTTACAATACATCACGAGAATCGCATTACAGTACATTACAGTACATCACTTTGTTGAGAAAAAAGAAAGAAAAAATTACATCGATGAGAAAATAAAAAGAGTATTGACAACACAAAATTGGGAAGGAAGTTAATTTTATCTAGTCTCGAAGCGCAACGACTTTTTTTTTGATGGAGATTGGCTTCGACTTGTAGGATAGCTTTTTAGGTTACCAGTTCTGGGGAAAATTTGCAAGTCACTTCACTGGTTGTACTCGCGAATATATGTGAGGTACAGCAGGAAATTTGCATGTTCATCGTGATATATTATGATTTTATCTGGAGAAAGAACAAGTTTTTCGTAAGGGAAATTCAAAGGTTGAAAAGGCGTGGAGGCGAACTTCTTGTATTTGCGTGACTGGACTAACTTAGCGTGATGGGGGTGAATTCACAAGAGCGAAAAACGTGACTAGTTTATGAAAATACAAACCTTGGCTGGTTGATTTCAAAATTTGTGGTATATGATTTACGTCCGTTATATTGTACTCTTCTGTTGCTTTTTGTTTCCTATGTTTAGTGGTTTTTAACTTTCAATAGCTGGTGTAATAGAAAGTCAATCCATATCTGATGACAACCCATTCTTTTCAGGACTGCAGCGATGTTGAAAACGAAAGTTCAACGTGTATCCCAGGATTCTTCGGAGGCGCCACGATAGAAAAGCCATTTCAGTTTAGCTGCCAGGCCTCTTGGCCCGACTCTACTGATTGGCAACCTTTGTTGTGTGTGACCATTAACAACAACCCTCTGATTAGTTACTTTTACAACCTGACCTCCCCGCCCTTAGCGCAGGATTCCTCTGGGTTTAACTTGCTATCCGCAAAGAGAAAGAGAGAAGCATTTACGTTCTCTGAAAGCGAAGAACGGCAAACGAGTATTTCAAGCGGGTTTTACTCTGCAGGAACAACAATTAAAACAGCCACAAACACTGAAGCTAAAAATTATGCCAGAGCTAAACTGGGCGTCCTTTCCTTGCCACAGTCCGTCTTCAACGGTTTATGTGTCCAGAATGCAGCTGTAAGGTTTCTTGAAGATGTGTCGTCTGGATGTGTTTTTGAATCTGAAGAATCTCTTTGTAATTCGCAGTCACCGTGGAGTGCGTTGAATTATCTGATGCCTAATAAACTCAGTCAACCAGCGTGTCCAATGCCCCCGGCAGTTCTGGCAGAGGGGAGCCTTGGCGACACTGTGGGGGAAATACCTGTGATATCGAGTACGGAAGTACAGTATTTCTGTACAGATGTCGCTGACCATGTTTCCACGACGGCTCAGAAATTGGGAGACGCGAGGTGTAACTTTGATGTCGGCGACACTTTACCTCCCGCACCATTTTTTAACAAAACAAAAAGAACCTGCTCTAATGTAGTAACGAAAGTCGAATACGAGTTTACATGGTCTGGAAGGCGAATTGACGCTGTGCAGGCGCGAATTACGCTTGGTAGCGTTGCAATTCCATTAGCTAGAGATATGGCTCAGCTAGTCACATCTGATACATTCACCAACTCTGTCGGCCAGAGCTTTTCCGTTAGATTTCTTCACGCGTTGCGAAACTCTTCGAACTCCTCAAGCGCTCCAGTCCAGCGCTCAGGGAACCCAGGTTACGTACTTGGTCGTCCAGTGCTGGGCCGCCTGCTGAACAGCACAGGAGAGGTATGTTGTCAAATGCCTCTGTCTTGTCACATAATAATAATAATAATAATAATAATAATAATAATAATAATAGTAATAATAATAGTAATAATAATAATAATAATAATAATAATAATAATGAGCTTTATTTAACCAGGGAACACCATTCAGCAGCCTGTTCTCCCAGGTGTCCCTGACTTTGATCGACCACAAAAGAAACAAAGATTGGGCGGGATGTAATCGTACAAAATAAAACAAAAATTAAAACAAGACACGGAATGGATTCGAGTTATTTAGTGTCCAAAACAGTATTTGTGTGAATTCGATCATTTTAGTTTTAGGGAAGAGTGCTGCTTTGGTGTAAGCCCTCATTATTCGCTAGCAGTTTGCAAAGAAAGATACTTGCATGTACGAGAAACCAAAACCTCTGTTTCTTTTTAAATCTCTCGTTAACGCTATTTGCCGTACGAAGAACCGGGTTCTTGATCCGCATGTAATTCGATGAAGTGGTTGTTGAATAACCCAGGTATCACTTTACAAACAATTAAGTAGTTTTTGTGTGAGCAGGAGCTTTACAGTTTGCGCGCTGGACCTTGGTTCAACAATTTCAAGGAGTAGTGTTTCAAGCCTTGACCCGGTGGACGATTGCTTTGTGTTCGCGCCGGAGACAGTCTACTGTTTTAGTTCCTCTCTTCACCAAAGCTTGTCAATGGGTACTGGTTGTCTGCCAGAGAAGCTTGACTTGGGGTTTCCGGTAAAGGAGTAGCACTCTATCCAGGCAGAGTAGCTAAACCCCTCTTTATAATTTAGAAACTGGATAAATCCTGCCGAAAGAGGCAAGTTGACACCCTAGACTTTTAATGTGACCTTACAAAATTTTGTTATTTTTAATATTCCATAAGGTCACAGATGGAAAAATCCAACTTTGGTCACCAGGCTCTGATGGTGTGTGTGCGGGTTCAGCCCTCACCCCAGTTCTTTATGGAGAGGATGCCTTCTCAGGGTGTTCGGTTATGTTATCATTTGATGACATCAGCAACTGCTCTTTGTTACGCGAAACAATATTAACTCATCAGGCTCGTCTGGTTCAAGCTACGCATGTCGGTCGCACTGGCAACGTTGACCTAGATGTTCATGACGACTGGCTTCCAATTATAAGGTGACATGACCTTTGTCTGATGGTCAAGTTTGATCTCACAGTTCGTGAGACAATACGAGGTTTACCAAAAGTATTTAGATGAAAAGATGACCGTTTAGTTTATCCAAGGTTGCCTCCAGGTTAGCTCAATGGATAGAGTGCTGGACTGCTGTGCGGGAGGTCGAGGGTTCGAGCCCCGGCCGGACGCAACACTCAGGGTCTTAAAATAATTGAGAAGAATTTGCTACCTTTCTATAACATCAAGAAATGGTTAGATATTCTAGTCTTCTCGGATAGGGACGAATAAATGGAGGTCCCGTCTCCTGCAGGGTTGGGGTAGGAGACGTTAATTTCCCACACACGAGATTACTGTGTGATGGATGTCCTCCCCTGGGGTGGGATGGGTGGGATATAGGGCGCACTTAATTTGGAGCCTCGCTCTGTTGTGCGACCCTC